ATGAGATTGACAGAACCATACCCCCTTTCAAAGAAACAAAAAATTGTTTTATAAACCATAGGTGCATGTTGAAAGTCAATGAGCAATCAGAATAATTGAAGATTGGATTTGATTTTGGGGAGTTTGGGGACAGATAGACCTTCATCAGTAGAATCTTCTAAAAACTCTTAACATTTATGCACAAGCCTCTTAAGGGAGTAGAGCATGGCTTGTTTCTTGGTCTCTACTCCCCATTTGATTGCCTTGGCAAAAACATTAAGGCTGTGCCGCTGAGGAGTTGTGATATCCCAATCCCATATCACGAGTAAGTAAGTGTAAGAGCAAATAGCGGATATGAATTAGGTCCACCTACTACTAATAACTGAACCTAAACATCTATGACTTGTTTGGTTTAGAGAAATGAGTATTTCTTGGTAAGAAAAGAAAATTTAAGATGTTTATTTCATGCGTTACAACAATGAGAAAGTAAAATTAATTAATTTCTTTTTTAAATCAGGTAATATGTGTTGGATTTTTGAGGGTAAGAAGGGAGGGATTGAGAGAGGACTTGGAGGAGAAGTAGAGACGCCCGGAGTTTCCTCTTTTGGTGAGGTCAGAACCTATTTTCTTCCATTGATATTCTACTATTTATAGCAGAAACAACACAACATAACATAACATAGAACATAAAAGCCATAAACATGGAAGGGTGTAGACATTCACCCAACCGGAGAGGAGAAACCATGCTCTCTTTCTCTCAATTTTCATTAATTTCTTCCTTCCTTTTTATGGAGGAAGACTACACATAAAACAATAATATTTTTCTACCTAAACTATAATTATTAACTACCTAAAATATTGACTAAAATGATGAAGTTTGCTGCCATTTCTTGTAGCCCATGTGAAGCTCCATGCTGCTGTTACTTTGCTGCTACTGTGCAGTTATGTTGCAGTATCATTTAGCAGATCTCATTTCACTGCATTTTCAGCTTTCATGCCATAGCTCCAACAAACTCCTCCTTGGCATTAAAGCTGCAGAAACACAATTTTACTTTAGCACATTGAATCTGCCATTTTCAGTTTTGTCTTTGGTTTGGTTTGTTGTTGTTTGCTGCCCAGTACCATCTTCTCAAATATTTCAGCTCCTCCTGCAAATCAGCTTCATCTTTGTTAGATTTTTGCTGTTTGAAAAAA